ATTTATTTTAAAAATAATAAAATCTAACTCTAACAGCCCAAACCATCCTATTAATGGAAAGGAAACAATTTACCCCAAGAAAAGAATCAAGAAAAGAGACATGACACATGCATATTTTTTCTCATGTTAACGCATACAACCAACATTAGTTTCCAAGGTTAAAGAAATCAAAATAAATTCTCTCGAAATTATCTTTTCTATTTTCTGGCTTAAGTAAAGGCATTCAGAAGGAACGTACAGAAACTTTTTTTGATCCATCCTTTCTTAATATGTGCAAACTTCCTCACATTTGGGATTTATGCAACATCTTGAACTATTTTTCAGAGTCCAGCAAATTAAAAATTACTTTTGCCAAACAATTTTCCCTAATATGAGAACGTATATGTATTTTCAAGAAAACACAATTCTTTGTTAGAATTCATAACATTTAACTCATCCACATGATTTGTCCTACTAACAATGGCTGACATTTGCTAAGCTCTTACAACGTGTGCAGCTTTTAGAATGGTGCAGGCATTGCCTCACTTAATCCTCCCAGAAATCCTGTGAAATTGGTCTAGTTATTATCTTGGTAAACAGAGGAAGAAAATGAGATTGTGAGAAGTTAATCTGCCCACACTTGGTGTTGCCAGAACTCAACCCAAAATTTCAGATCTCAAAGCCTGTGGGTGCTCCTAGCCAACAATCTAGAAAATGAAATCTATTTTATCTGACAGTCCTTTCCATCCAACTGTTGCATGCCAGGAAATGGGATGTGGTCAAGAAAAAAGATGTTGAACAACTAAAGACACAAGAAACCAAAAACTCACAACCTTGTGTCTATATGGTGTGAACTGCACAAAACGAGTCATCTTACTCCCAACCAGGAGGCCAACAGATATCACCATTAACATCCATGTATTGGGACAGTTGAAAAACAAATCACAAGGCCAAGAAGTAACCAAAAGTTCAAGAGGGAAAAAAAGTAACTCTTACGTATCTATAGACCCACAGCACTTACCCCTAAAACCTCAAAGAATTTTTTTTAAGCAAAGAGAAACCAAGCCCTTCTTTCTGAAAGAAAGTGAATAGGAAACTTCCCCTCCATTATTAATCTATCAGTTTTGGTTTTGTATTGCATCACCATTAGCATAATCATTTTAGCTTTCTATCACTTTACGGTAGTCCCCAAAAACTATCAGATCTGATAAAAGATCCCCAAGACACACATTTATTATTAGTTTCTTAATTTTTCAAATCAGGTTAATAAGAAATATCAGATCAAAAAAAATTCATAGGCCAAAAATAAACAAAACACTTCAGACTGAGAAGTTGGTATTTGCAAGTCACTGGAAGAAATTTTATAGGATAAAATGTCTGAAACATTGGAATATCTAGATTAACTTTTATTATTTACAACCCACAACATGTAGCTTAGAAATCTATACCAGAAACAGATTATTAAGGCATTTTACTTACAGTATTAGCATATTACCGGATTTGCAGATTTTTAAGTAAACAATGATACTTAATATGAGTGCACACTTTATATGTGAAAGACACGTTAGATTCCAAAAATAATCACTTACTAACTATCATAATTAAACATTCGGAAAACTAAATGTCTTCTTTTTTGTCATTTATTCTTAATAAATAACACTAAAGCTTAAAATCTAACTATGGCACATGAAACACATACTGTGGTTCCTGAGTAAGAGTAGGGAATGCTTTATATGTTAATATAGGTTCTTAACCATTACAAAAATCAAATTTGCCTTGTCTTATTGCCTGTATAAGATTTAGAAGTTTTTCATTTGTGTTATTTTAAATTTTAGTGTTAAGAGGCAAATGCTTACTTAAAACGCTGTTTAAGGTTTTTGAACCATTTTGGTTGTGTGTATGTGTGCATTAAAACAAAACTCTATATGAATGTTATTCTAGGAATAGATACTCAGCTGAGAAAAGTAAGAAAACAGATCTGTAAGGACATGCAGTGGAATGTGCATGGTTTGGCGGGAAGACTCATAATCAGAACAAATTGCAGCACATAATGGCTGGAAAAGTTAATTAAGTTAACCTAGCACAGTATCACAACAAAACATTTTTGTTTATTTGAATCATTAAATTGTGGACAGGAGAGAAAATGCATATATTACATCCATTTGGTTCTTAGTGCTAAACTCATTTTTAATTGTTCATTTATACTTCCCTGAATTTCAGAGCTTCGTAAAGGAAGCATAAGAACCCCCTGGAAACAGTAGCGACCAGTACTACCTGCTATAAGATCAAAATTATTTTAATTTCCTTTTGGTAAATAGCCTCAGTGTAGGTATCCAAGCACTTATAAAATGTTTGTAGAAAAAAGAGAAAGAAAGGGAGACAGAGACAGAATGGACAGATATACAAATGACCATGGCAATGGCAGCCACCAGCCAGCACACACAGTGAGTCAACCTTTGAGCCATTACCCATGAGCTCTAAAACCCAAATGAGGCATAGGACCAAAACCCAGAGACAAGCTGTTTAACCACTTTTAAGTGCAGAGGAAAGCATGCTTGCAGAACGAAGAAGAGACTAGGCCCGTCCACTCCCTGAGCATGATCCTGGAGCTGGAAAGAGACTATGAACTACTTAGATGAAACAGAGGACTGTTAAAAGGTCATTACAATTATTATCATTGCTTATGCAAAGCAATCACCAAGAAAGAAATGTATCTTTCTTTGTTTTACTTTTCCCTTCATTAAATTTGTTGGCTGATTTTCTTGGACACTTCCAGTAAGGTTGCAATCATGTTTAAAAACACCACTTCCACTTTTAATTGGAAGTAAAATCCCTTTAGTAGAAACAGGAACACTGAAAAAATGGCCAGAGTACTGCAAACCTGACCAATGAGTATTTGCCCCCAAAAGAGATGGGTTTTATACCCATTTAGGAGGGCACACATTTGCTTCAAAAGCAGAGGCGGATCAGGGCAGGAAGCCCACAGAATCTGGATTAGAAATCAATGCTGTGGTTATTTCAGACTATAGGACTAACTTTGTAAATCATGACTATTCCTTCTCTGGGATAATGTCCTTGACAGGCATGCTGGCTGCCACAGGGCTGCTTAGGTTACTTCTGTTCCTAGTCACCCTAAATGGGCTCATAAGGGCAACCTGTGATCAAAGAGTAGCTGAAGACCAAGGCAGCAGCACCGAACGCCTCCAGAGCATGTCTATGGAAGTGGCAGAAGAAGCAGCATGAGGAACAAACCGCTGTTTTTACTGTGCTAGAATTCACAGAAAGGACAGTGGCTCATAGAGACTCCCCATAACACTCTGTCTTCTACCAACTTACACTGGTTCTCGCCTGTCTTCACACTCACATGCTCACACACATCCACATACCTCATACCACTTACTCACACACAATTATACACACAAGCTATAAAGATTAAGCAAAAGTTGATGTTTCATGAAGCATAAAATACAGAAAGTGCTTATTCCATCAAAATTACCATTAAAATTACCAAATAACCAACACTGCATGGACTGATTCTACTTCTAAAATAATAAATTTGTCTAACTTTTACAAATTCCAGAAAAAATGAACAAGGGTCACATGATTTTTTTAAAGGAGAAACTATGCCTTCTATAAACACACTGGAAGAATAATGCAAATATCTGGCTTAATAAAAATAAATTCCAGTCCTGACTTGAAACATCACAAATAAAGGTAGAAATACAGATATATTATCATATTTGTGTAAAGAAAAGTCATTATTTTAACACAGACATAAATATACCTCCCTAAGGATCAATTCAAAATAGGACTCATTAGCCAGCAGGTTCAATGCCAGCCCCTCCCCGCACCCAGTAAAGCCAGAAATGCATACTGGTGACATCCAGGAAGGAGGAGGGCGCCAGCACAGCACATACTTATCATGGACAAGGATAGGCATAGAGAGCAGGCTCCTTAGAAAGTCAGCTCAGGCAGTACCACAGTCAGGACAGGAAGGCGCAGTTTTACTGGATTTCTGCTGTTAAGAGTCTACGGTTCTGGGCTGAGGTTACCTTCAGGTTCTGACTCTCCAATTATATGTAAAAATAATTTAAATCAACCTAGTAATAGTTTTCTTGAATAAATAAAAGATAAGCCCACAGGGAAGGAGGAAGCAAGTTGGTTCATGCAAATCAGTGTGCCCAGATATGCAGTGTCCAGAAACAGAACTGCCAGCCAGGGCATGTAGAAAAGTGGAATGCAATTCAGGAAGGCCAGGTGGCTATGAATTCTATAAACGGCAAAGGCAATAATGACCCACGAGAGTGGAAAAGCAGAGAAAGGAAGGTTACCATTGATCTATTTAGTTTGTTTTATCCAGAAGCAGCTCTGGAACTCATTTTCAATGCTCCATGCCTGAACTGAAATGCCTCTCAACACATGGCTTAAAATACCAATATAGCATATAGAAACAGTGGCGCTATGTTATCTCTGAACACAAATTAAGTAAATTAAATTTTTATAAGCCAGCAGTAAAACCTGTATCTCAGATACTGGTGTTACCTTGAGGCTCAACCATTAACAACTTCTAAAATCTTTTAAAGTAGACCACTTAAAGTTGGGGGTGGGAGAATCCTGTCACTAATTTTGACAACGCAACTTTTGTACCTTCTCTAATAACTAATAACTATTTGGACTAGTATAGACTTTCCATGTGAAATGTGAAGTATTCTGAACTCCTGCCAGACTAATCAAGACGATTTCCAAAACGCCAAAACTGCAACTTTCTGTAATAAATAAGCAATCACATTTACATCTCAAATTAGAAAATTTGGAAGAAAACGTAACACCTTCAGTACCAAAATAGAGATTACGAACTCCTGCCCAAACTGTACCACCAACCCCCACTCTCTAACCCCATTTTGCTTTAGCCTCTCATAGAATAAACACTGGTCCAGGTGCAAAAGATCAACTAACAAGGAATGCAGAGAATATAAAAATGACTGTGGGCTTGGATGCTGGTAATCCCTGTGGCTGCTCACCATTGGAAGTGGTACTGGAGGCCACGGCTTTCTCGCTGACATCTGCTCGAGTGGAGCATTTCACTACAGAATTTTCAACTTTTTTCTTCTCAGTGGTCGTGGAGCTGTGGGACTGGGCCTCCATGATGCCTTCTCATTACTTCAACTCTCTGCTACCAGGAACACCTAAATAAAACAACAGGCCATCAACTTCAAATAAGAGTGGGGAAAAAATGTCACTCAAAAGCCCACTTCTGTCACCTGAGGAGGTGCCTACAGCTTTAGTGAATTCAAAATGTGGAAGAGCCTTTGCTACATATTTTATTGCAAAAATGCCTCAAGTTCTATTAACAAGTCAGTCAAATGTGTAAAAGGAGAACAGAGGGCAAGGTCCATAATGTGGGACCTTTCCCAAATTCCTACTGGGCATTTGTTATTGAATGGTCTAAACATCTCAATTTTTAGCTGTTTATAGTGTGAAACCCAAGTGTCACTCATAATACTCTTTTAAGCCACATCTACAAACGTCTCTTCAGGTGGCCGACTTTATAGGAAGTGGCACTAGGATAACTTTCCAAACAGGGGAAGGTTTTTAATTAGATGTTTTAAAAAGCATGCAACAATTTCTCAAATCCAAACCCTACTCAAAGTTCTGAATCAGAAAATAATTTAGGCCAAATAGCCAGTGATTTTTGCTCCTCCTCTCTAAGATATCTGAATTGCAATATGCAGCTTAATCCTAATTCCATTCAGGTAAACCATACTCTTTAAGGTTTCTTAAAATGAGACCATTTCAATTCATTTGAGTTATATCTTGTTAAACCAAACAAAAGTAATAGAACAACACACTCTCGACCCCACAGAGAAAGTCAAAAGACTGCCAACAGCAAAGACTGGAACCACTTAAGAAATATTAAAACTCAGCTAAAGGCAAGTTCAGTTACTTAGTCTTTCACTGGCTTCATTCATGTGATAATAGCCCTAACTCATCATTCATCAATTTTCACTCAATTTGGTTCACGTTCTTTTTTTGCAATCATGGTCTATGCTTACAAAGAATACAAGAAAAGATGACGAGTACCCTCTCTCTAGAATGTTTTCTTCAAGCTATCTAGATTGCAACACTTCAGTAGAGTTATCCGCTTCTTTTCTACATTTAGCAGGCAATGACACCATGTTCAGTCAAAACAGCAATCAGTGAAGTAAAATAAGCAACTGCTTACCTGACTGAAAGAATTAAAATACCAGATGAAATATTTTTGGTCATCCTTAACTCAACTTTGCAAGGGGAACTGCAAATTCTTTTTTTACTGTGCAAGAAATCTGGAATTCAAGTAACTAGAAATGCTTAAGACCCAGAGGCTGAGTGGCACTGAAGGACCAGCTTTTCCACTAATTCCCTTTTCTTTTCCTAGATCATTCATTGTAAAATGCACAAGTTATTTAAGAACAGCTTTTCTGGAACAAAAAAGAAAATAAGCACAAAGCTAAATTTACATATCAATTGTTAAGATCCACTTCAAATTCAGAAATAGCCCTCAAAGACCCCTAACAAAGTGACGGTGAAGGAGTTCAGAACTTCCTTTCAGAGGGCAGCCATCGTGCACAAGTCCAGAGGGCAAGGCCTTGTTACCGGCTACCTGAATGGAGTTGTTCAGTTCCTCAGTTTTCAAGCACACAGTGGGACTTAACTTTGGGGGAGAAGGTGCAGTTCTCTTTAAGAAAATGTTAAAAGTTATGGATCCTCTCCCCAGAAAAATACCCTTAAACACTAGAGTGTACATTTAATTTCAGAAAGAACATGGGCCCTCCAAGCTTTTCCATGAATCCAGATAAAGAACCCTTGAGGGAGAAATTTTCAACAGCCCCTTCTAACTCTAACAATCTCGGAATGATTCTTTTTTTTTTTTTTTAATGCTCCCCAAAGCTGATTAAAATGTCAGTCTTTATAGTATGCCACAGAACAATTCATCCCCATCCACAGCACTATTTATGAGTGGTACAAGAGCCACCTGAATCGGTCTGCCACAGAGCTTGTGAAACATTCAGATTGCCTGGTCCAATACTGGATGTCTTGGAGGGTGGCACCAGAGAACCTTGTATTGTAACCAGCACTAGTGATTATCAGGCTCACCAAAGCTTGCAGACAACTGCTCTATACATTTTTGTTCACTACTCTAAACCCAGTAAAGTAGGTACCCATTTAAGTCTTGGCTGACTAGATGAACTAACGAATGGACTATACACCCCAACTGAATCCCAACAGCCTGCATGAGCCTAGCCTAGTACCCATCACAATGATGAACTCTTTGGAATCTTTGCTAAAAAGGCCATCTCCTCTCCAGACAGTAAGCTTCAAGAGGACAAGCCCTTGGCTATCTTCCTAACACCTCGTACCCCTAAGAATGTGTACCGAGTAAAGAAAGGATCTAGTGATGATGACTCCATGACCCAGATGCTTATACAGTGTCTTCAATCTTAAATCGTCACTGGTTTAGCTACATATCTTTTATATCTAGTGTTTCTTTGAAAACTGGCAAATTACATAAAAACTAAAAACTTTAAAAGGAATATTAATCAAAACACCCCATCCTCAATCATTTTGGATAAAGACACATTTACTATAATTGTTTCCCTCAAAACACATAGTTTTATTGGTTGAATTTGAATGGAGTTTTACTAAGTTAAAACTGCACACGGAGACAAGCCAATAGACCAGAAAAACCCATGAGGAGCTGGGATTCCTGGTAAGGAATCAGTCTTTTCCTTAGTAGATAGAACTAATTAACAGTAATAAGGAGACAAGTCACCAAAGTTCCTTGACAAACTTGGTTTTTGTAAAGTTACTGGTTTTTTCCCCAAGCAAAGGACTTCATTTTAACAAAGCAATAAACTCTCCAAATACTCAACACCACAGAGAGAGGCTCATGGGAGAAGAGGTAAAGCCCCAGGCACTGACTAAAATCGCACTAATTAAAGGTGGCAGAGAATACTAATTCCTACCCCCCTTGTTTGAAATAGATTTTTAAAAAATTAGGCCCTTGGTCACTCAAGAGTCTGCCTCTGTCTTCTATTTTGACAACTTAATTTTGGATCTCATTAGTAAGTAACTAATTATTTAAAAGTGTAGCTTGTACTTGGAAGAGGGCTATGAAAATGGCAACTTGCCAAGGCATCATATCAGCTTATTTTACTGATAAAAATACAACTTTGTCCCTGTCCATTACAAAAGAGAAAGTTTTAACATGCTCACACCTCATCAACACTATGCACTAAGAATTAGTGAGCAGAAGAGTCCACTTCTACCTGTGATGGTGGTTTTTTCATAGATTAAGCGAAGTTGAGAAATTTGGTCCTGAGTTGATACTCAAAAGCCTGAGGTATAGAAGTGACCAGTAAAAATTCCTGGTGAAATCCTAAAACATACAAAATTGGGGCAGTAGCTCACAGTACTACTTTGAAATCCTGGAATTTCCTAAACAGTAAAGTACAACTTATTTATGTCAAGGAAAACGTTTTGGTTTTGCTTCAAGATTTTTCTTGGAGGAAAATATCAGTTTTTTAGATATGAATAAAATGAGAACTTTCCCCTGACCATGTTTCCTTTTCTTACAATTCCACACTGTTCTCCTTCAACCCCTTTCTCCACTGCAACATACGTGCAAAATTTGCTGGCATGTCCCTTGACTTTTTATGCTTATGAAAAAAAAAAAAAAAACTGTAGCTGATGTTTGAGTCCCAGATGCTTGAGTATATTAAAGAAAAAAATACTGCAACCAGGAAAAACTGCGCTAATAGTGTATGCCTGCTAAAGCCTAGTCTCCTAGGTAAATAGAAGGGTAAAGATTCCTTCCTAAAAGCAGTCCTGGCTTGTCCCCCACTCAACCATTCCTGAACCTTTTGTAATTTCCCGGAAGCCTAAACCCAAGGCACAATGAATTCCAGACCCTATTATTAACCTAATCCCTCTCCTATTAACAACCTGCCTGCAGGTGGGTCTTTTCTGTCTAAATTATAAATCTAAACTTGCTTCAAACTCCTGCAAAGAAGGCATCTAAAGCTTCCTGGAGCCACTGACCAGGTGAGGATTTAGTGCGCGGCCAATTTTAGAGTGTCAGCAAAAGGGGCAACATTGACCAAATTCGAAATTCTTGTGGGGACCTATATTGGAAGCATTTTAACACAAAAAGCCTCAGGTGGCCCTCTTTTTAGAGTAGCCACTAGGGCTGCAATAAAAATATCCCCAAACAGAAACTTTTATCTTTGTAAAAACGAATTAATTGGAATTATGGTTTTTCTTAGGCTGTGGGGCTAGGTAGTTCTCTGACAGCGCTGGCCTTCTGCGCGTCCACGCCGGGCTCCCTGCAGTGCTGTCCCTCAGACGGTGCCAGGGACCGCCGCTTCTTTACGCCCTAAACACTTCCCTGCCCCCGCGGCCGGACCTCCGGGTCTCGGCGTCGCAGTCCCAGCTCCGAGTCCAGGGCATTCTCTCTGGAAGCGCCGCGCCGCCGCGTCCCTGCTCCTTTCTCGGCAGCGGTCAGGTCCGGTCAGCAGCTCAGGTCCACACCCGGGGGTGGCTCCTCTAAAATGACGGGATGTCAGGGCCGCGGGGACGCTCCCAGCCCCGTTTCCATCTTTGCTCCTGCAGCGGTCTTCCCGAAAATACAAAACCGGGCAGAACAATCCGAACCCCGCAGAGGCTCTGCTGCGGAAGAAGCGCCCCTATCACTTTCATCATGCTGATTACCTGCTCCACGGGAATATTCTAATTAGAGCCCAGCAGCATTTCCAACAGTTGTCAGTGGCAGCCCTGCTTTCATATGTACGCAGCCGTTTTACCAGCTGAATCCAGAGGTACAACTTTCCAGGTACTTTGCAATGCAACACCCTGTGTGTCGCACTACAATAAAACACTGGGAATGCCATGTCTTCAGGATACCAAGCGGGTGTGCTTCATTCACAAAACTTGTAACTCATCGTCCATTAACCTGGACCCCCTAATACCGTTTCTTCATTAGCAGCCCTAAATAGATTCAGGTGTTGAGAATGGGTAAGGTTCATACACATCTTGTCATCTTTCAGGGAGGGAGGCCCTCAGTGGAGTTCCAAAGTTTCACCTTAACCGTGAGACTTTACGTAGTAGAGAGTATGAAAAATCACAATTCTAGAAATGTGCAAAAATCAGT